GAGACTCGCTTGTCATTGAAATGAACTAGACTCGCCGGGCTTTCAAAAGAAACTACACTCGCCGGGCATCAAGAAGACGGAGACTCGCCCGGCATCAAGAAGACCGAGACTCGCCGGGCTTTCAAAAAGACGAAACTCGCCCCAGCTGCGGAAAGAAACTCGCCCGACCTCGGAGAAAAAGACGAAACTCGCCCGCCCGCCAAAATTCCTCCTCCTCCTCGTTGGCATTTCCCATTCGTTTTTTTTTCGGCCGCCCCGACGAACCACATGACCGGGCGGCGTTTTCGCTCCTTAATGTCTTTTTCGTGTGTTTTTTCGCGGGGACAACTCGTCGTTTCGGTCAGGAGGGGGTTAGAGAATCGTCTTTTTTTTGGGAGTGGTGGGGGAGTTTGGTTTTTTTTCACTGGCAAGGGTGGGGAGATTTAAGGTAGTGTTTTGGGTCATGAGGGGGTAAAGAATTGGGTTTATTTAATGAAGAGGGAGGGTAGGATAACTTAATTTAGTTTGTTTTGACTAAGGACGGCTAGAAAATCATTTTTCTTTTATTAAGAGGAAGGGGTGGGATAAAAAAAATTTTTTTTTGAATAATGGGATGGTAAATTTGAAGAAATGATAAGGAATACCTTAAGAATAAGGAATAGCGAAAAATTTTCGCTCTAAGTCCCACCCCCCCTTCTACATTACCCTCACCCTCATCTATCCTCTCCCTTACCCTTCCTCTATCTTAATTTAAAGGAGGCAACAAAAAAACAGTTTTTTTTCGTTTCTTTGCTGGTCCGGCGGAATGAATTACGGAATTTGGGATTCGTATTGTTTTTACATGGGAATCGGGCGAATGCCTACTGCTATTGTGCGCCAACCGTCACGTCAGCCGCCAAGATTCTCCCTTACAAAGCGAATTGTCTTACGAACAATTTTTGAATCGCCGGCTATGAGATTGGTCTTTTTTTCTTGGTTTTTGAACGTTAAGGGGGGGGAGAAAATTTCGATTGTGAATGGGGGGGGATTGGTAAAACGAAAATTTTTGGTAAAAGAACAGAAGAGCATACTCTTTGAAAGGGCTGTAGGGAAAGGATAATTTATTCGTCTTAATGAGCAGCCGGCTGCCTCCAAAAATTTGGCGAATTTTCAGTCGAATTTCTTAAATTTCACAGTGTTCGCGAAAATGTTGCGCAGTTGGGTAAACAATGAATCAGGAGGTGTTTTTTTATGTGAAATTCAAGTGCACCAACACTCGTGTGCTTTTGGGTAATTTTAGACGGAATTGGCATCTGGCCAAGTACAGGTTCGCGGGGTTTTGGCGGGAGAAAGTGGGGGTTTTAAACTTTTGGGTGGGGAGTTGCGAATATTCTTACTTTACTTTACTTTACCTTACCTTACCTTACTTTTTTTTATTCTACTTTATCATACCCTACCCTGCCTTACCCTACTATATTTTTCATAAAATGAAAAAAAAATTATTTTTTTACCCCACCCAACTCATCACTGCCAATTCCCATCCTTTATGGCCGAGGAATCAGTCCATATGATGTATTTGAGAAGGCTATTAATGTTTTGCAAAGTTTACTTGTAACATGTTATGTTGTATGAAAAAACACGACCACAAGGTTTCTCGTCAGATTTTATAGTCTGCACTTTATTTGTTGAGATTTCGAATGTTTTGGACATAAAACGAGCCGCTTTATTAGCTTTTAAAATACGGAAAAGAATGTAGTTTTAGATGGTGTAAAGGTTTGTTGGTTATTGTTTTTGGTTTTTTAAATAGGGCGTGGTAAAAGTGATTCTTCGTTAGAGTTTGGGGGCGTAAGGTCGATTTTTGAACTTTTTTTGCTATTTTTTTTAATTTTAAAAATTTTTGCAAAGTGAAAAAATTTTGAAAATGGTTTCATTGTGTAACGTAGAGTTTAATTTGTTACTTTAAAATATTTTTTGCTAAATTTTTATTTTGATTTTTTAAAAAATGGCTTTTTCCTTCGAGACCAATAATCGTCTCAGCTCGCTATAAATCGCTCGCAAAAATAAAAAAAAGATTACTAGCTAAAATATTGTAGTAGTACAAAGCTACTAGTGTTCTCCGTCATTTTTGTTAAAAAATTTTTTAAATTTTCTAGTTTTGTGTTGTATTTCATACGTAAAAAAGTAGAAATTAGTCACCAATAACTCGTGTTTCCTCGCGTGCTTTATTTACATAATAAAATCTCTCGAATTGCTTATGGATCAGTAAGCAATTCACGGTCACCAGACGACCTTCAGCGTACTCTAGAATACCCTACTTCAAACAGCCTTACCCTATCCTACCCTGCCCTATTCTACCCTACCCTACCCTACCTTACCCTACCATACCCTACCCTACCCTACCCTACCCTACCCTACCCTACCCTACCCTACCCTACCCTACCCTACCCTACCCTACCCTACCCTACCCTACCCTACCCTATCCTACCCTACCCTACCCTACCCTACCTTACCTTACCCTACTCTACACTAAACTACCATATTTTACCCTACCCTGCTCTATTTTACTCTACCCCATCCTATTTTACCTTACCTTACCCTACTTTACTTTTCCTCACCATAGTACCCTCTCTACCCTATTTTACCTTACCCTACAATAATAATACCATAGCTAGAGCTAGGGATTGAGAATAACTACAGTATTATCAATTCTAGCTGTTATGCCACAAGTTGAACCCAATAATTAATCCCTGTCAATATCATACATCACTGTAGACCACTAAAATATCTTAAAAGACAATTATTTTGTTTTGCACGATGTAAATAAGCTATTGTTCAACTTGTTTTAATACGCACCTTCTTCCATTATTAGCCAAAAATTAATCTGTACCGACTAGCACGAGGATATCATACGAGAACGGTTATTGACACGCTCATCTTTCGGCTAATTTGGGGGTGTTTTTGGACGTTTTTTTACTTTTAGTCTTGTTTTTGGCTTTATTATATTTATATTATACTACTTTACCCTACTTTGCTTTATATTCTACCGTACCTTACGTAGAGTAGGGTATGATAAGGTAGGGTAAAGTACAGTAGGATAGAATAGGGTTGAGTAAGGTAGGGTAAGGTAGGGTAGGGTAGGGTAGGGTAGGGTAGGGTAGGGTTGGGTTGGTTAAGGCAAGGTAGTGTAGGGTCGGATATGGTAGGGTACAGTAGTGTAGAGTTACCGTACCCTACAGTATTCTACCGTCTCGTGCGCTACCCTTTATCTGCGCTATCTTACCCTATCTTACCGTACCCTACCGTATTCTACCACACCCAACAGTACTCTTCCCTACTTTACCCTATCCTAGCCTACCCTGACCTGGTCTGCCCTGCCGTACCTTACATTACTGAGACTTACAGTGTTCTACCGTACTCTACCCTACATTACCTACCCTATCGTACCCAACGGTACCCTTCTGTACCCTACCTTACCCTACCCGAAGCCGGTCTGCCTTACCGTACTTTACATTATCAAAACATATTGTACCCTACTATACCGTACCTTACCGTACTTCTTAAGAGCTATTTTCATAAATTTTTGGCCGTTTTTCAATGTTTTTCTAGAAATTTCAAAAAACGGCCCAAATTGGATAGCAGCCGCTTAAATTATTAATCCGCTATGTTCGCGATTAGGCGGTGGTGGTATTTTTGCGATATTATGTTTGCAGTAAACAATATATCTTGTGATGCGATATATTAGCGGATTATGAGGATATTGGTATGCAAATTTTGTTTTTCGGTCAAAGGCCGGTTGGAATTTTCGGAAAAATATTGTTTTTCATAAAGAACGGGGAGGGGGCTTTACGTGCGTTTTGATATTAAGTAGTCGCAATTGTTTTTTACTTTCAAAGCAGAGATTAGGTAGGTTTTACTGGTGGAGGTTATTTAAGTAAGAGGTCATATTAGTTCTAGCCGTGAGCCCTAGCCCAGAGTCCTAGCCCTAGCCAAGAGCCTTAGTCCAGAGCCCTAGTCCAGAGACTTAGCCCTAGCATAGAGCGCTAGCCCAGAGCCCTAGCCCACAGCCCTAGCACAGATCCCTAGCCCAGAGTCCTAGCCTAGAGCCGTAGCTATAGCACAGAGCCCTAGCCCAGAGCGCTAGCCCAGAGCCCTAGCCCAGAGCCTTAGCACAGAGCCCTAGCTCAGAGCCCTAGCTCAGAGCCCTAACCCAGAGCCTTAGCCCAGAGCCCTAGCTTAGGTATTTAGTCCTAGCCTAGATTCCAAGCTCTAGCCTTGGCAGTAGCTCTAGCTTCTTCCGTGCCCTATCTGTGTTTATCCTCCCATTACTGTTTCTATACTGTACTTTACCGTAACCGTGATATCTTCTACCTTACCCTACATTACTTTTTAGCTCTTGCGCTACTTTGACATACTCTACTCTAATTTACATTGTCCTATCTTAAATTACCGCTAATTTACTGTATCTATAAGCATCTTTATTCAGATCTACTTTACCTTCCTATGTCTTATAGTAATTACACCTTTCTACTTTTTTCTACTGTACCCCACCTCTATAGGAAGTTCAATATTGTTGCGAAACTTCAAACTTTACTTCCAAGTTCGCAACACCTTACCCCTCCCCATCGCTCTCTCTCTTACAATATCGCCAGTGTAGTCGCGGGCGATTACAGAGCCCATTAAAGTCGTGGGGCTGACAAAAAACCGTTTACCCCCCCCCCAGCACACAACAGACAGCCGGCTCGCAGCGTGAGTTGGCTGATTTCCATGAGACCTTTCACGCCCCCCCCCCCTTACCCCGGTTTGACCCTCTCGATTCCAATGTAGACCACTCGAAAGCCGATGCTCTAAAAGAGTTTTGTTCGGTTCATATCGCTCGAAAAAAGACTTCCGCGCGAACAAAAAAAAGTTTTTCGATTTCAAGACAACATTAATGCAATATTCCGTCGTCTTCGCACCGATCATGATCTGTTTAGCGCGTTTGAAGCACAAATTCGCTTTGATTTTGTTTGTTTTGGGCTTTTGAGTTACATTGCAGTTTGTGAATGTGGACAAGGTCTGAAGCTGAGACTGAGGCAGAGTCTGATGCTGAACCTAAGGCTGAAGCTAAAGCTGAGGCTGAGGTTGAGGCTGAGGCTAAGACTAAGACTAAGGCTAAAGCTAAGGCTAAGGCTGAAGCTAAGGCTAAAACTAAGACACAGGTTAAAGCTAAGGTTAAGGCTAGGGCGAAAGCTAGGGCTAAGGCACAGTTAAGGCTAAAGCTAAATCTTTGACAGGCTCAGGCTTAGGCAAAGACTTAGAAAACCTTTTTTTTATTGTTTTGTGCGCAAAAGGATGTTCGTATTGTTATCAATTATTTTTTTTTATATTTTGTAAAAGGTCATCGGAAGTTGGAACATTGATATCTAGTGTAATATTCTTCAATGCCAGAGAATTTTTAATTTGAAATTTTCTTATGATTTTAAAATATTTTAATGTTATTTTTGCTCTTTTTTATGTTATAAAATTTACTTTTATATTGTTTTACATTTTTTTGATTTTTCATGTTTTGCAGCTTGCAGAAACTCGGGCGTAAGTCGAAATTTTAATTTTCTAATAAAAATGTTGAAAATGTATTAAAGTCTTGTTTTATTGTGTTTTTATGTATATTTTTAATATTTTTAACGTATTATCATATATTTTTTTATTACTTTTGTGTTTTTTCATTACTTTCTACGTGATATTACTTTATGTTTGCTCATATCTCACGTGCTATTATTATAGATAATATTACTTTAGCTTTTCATAAGAAGCTGATTCATTAATTTAATGCCCCGAATATTTTCAGGACCGTTCCAAGACTAGTACAGCGGGCGGGAGCATAAGACGTCACTTTCTCGAAGCCAAAGGTTCAAAAAACGAAGACAAACTTTGAGAACAGCACGTTTTAAAATGCACTTTTTTGGCAGCACGAGCGGGTTTGCTAGCCGGCTGGCTGGTGGTTTTTTTTCGAATACCTCGCCGAATGCTCGAGGACCAGACGTTTTTTGTCCGAACCATTGTTTCGTCTGTTTACTTTAAGCATTCCGCCGGCGAACGCTGGCTAAATGTTGCAATTTTGCGAACGAATTCTCCTTTCCTATTTGGGCGTGGTTTTTTAACGGGATACAATTTTTTTTAATTTTGGGCAGTGCTCGCTAGTGATAAGACTAGGGCTAAAGCCTAATAGGGATAGAACTAAAGTTAGGGTAAAGACTAGGAAGGAATGGATGAGGTTAAGACTAGGGATGGGGCTAGGGCTAAAGCTAGAACCAAAGATAAAGCTAGGACAAAGGCTAAAGCAGGCTAGAGATGAGGAACGGGTCGGGTCTGAGCAGGTCGGACCGGGCTTGGAAATCCCGAAAAACTTGGGCCGGCCTGGAAAGCTTAGCCTTAGGTTTAGCCTTAGCCTTAGATTTAGCCTTAGCCCTAGCCTTAGCCCTAGCCTTAGCCTTAGCCATAGCCTTAGCCCTGGCCCTAGTTCTAATTGTAGCTCTTGCTCTAGGTCTAGCCTTTACCGTAGCCTTAGCCCTAGAGCTTAGGTTGCTCTATACTCAATGTTACCTCTAATTCATCTCTTTTTACTCTGCCCAATAAACTTTTTTAACTAAAACTTCCTTGATTTGTCTAACAATTCAATCTTTTCGATTCAAAAACAAAATTTTATGCAAATCTGTAGACAACACGGGTTCTTTGTTAAATGCGCGTTTTAATGCAAAAATTTTTGCAAAAAAAAAGTTTTATGAAACAAAAAAGAAGGCCGGACTGTGCCGAGTGAAACAGTAAAGTTTTATCTGATTCGTCGTTTGTGTCTAGCTGTTTTTTGGAAAGTTTGGGTAAGATAAGGATCGGTGTCAGGGGGAGGGTTTTTGCGATTTTATGGTTTTGGGCGGGGGTAAAGGTCAATTTTTATGTTCTGTAAAGAAAGTTCTTGCCATTTTATGTTTTGTAAAGAAAGTTCTTGTCGTTTTTTGTCTTGTAAAGAAAGTTATTACATTTTCTGTTTTGTAAAGAAAGTTCTTGCCATTTTTTGCTTTGTAAAGAAAATTCTTGCCATTGTTTGTTTTGTAAAGAAAGTTCTTGCCATTTTTTGTGCATTAAAACAAATTTCCCGCCACTGTTGGTATTTTACCCCTCCCACCTTTGCTTTAGTCTTTCCGCTTTTCTTTAACCCCCCCCCCGCTACGCCTTTTACCTAACCCATTTCCCCCCGTTTCCAGCCCTATCATGCCAAAACCATATGACACATGCCTCGGTCCAATCCGTTCATCTACACGCCCCACAGACATGAGTTATTTCGCAGTTTTACACGTTCGGAAATGGATGAGTTATATATAAATAAGAGGACGATCTCCGCGTGATTTCTGCTCGCTCTTACCCTTTTCCCTTCCTCTCTCTGATCAACTGATGTTATACTTTATGTTTTGACGCGGTACGCAGACTTTAGGGTTTGTGGAGGCATGGGGGACATTAGTTTTGAAATTTGGAGGGGGAGGGGTAAAAAAACTTTTTTTGAAAGGGGGAGAGAAAGGTTGAAAATTTTTTTGAAAAGAGGTGGTGAAAAAATCTTAAAAATGAATGGTAAGGCAGGGGTAAAAAAAATTTTTTTGAACGGGAGGGGGGGGTTAAATTTTTTTAAATATAAATAGGGGTTGGTCAAAAAAATTTTGAGAGATGATGAAAAAAGCTTGAAATAGGGAGTAAAAATTTTTTTTTATGTGGGTAGGGTAAAAATGGTAAAAATTTTTTTGAAATAAAGGGGGCTTAAAAAATTTTTGAAAGTGGGGTCAAAAAAGCTTTAAAAATATGAACAAAGGTAAAGAAAAAATCTAAAATATAGAGGGCATGGTAAATAACTCTTTTGCAAAAAAGCATAGAGGGTGTGGTAAAAATAAAACAAACGGACCCTTTCACAAAAAGCCGCGAAGCGAATCGGGGGAACAGAAACAAAGAAGCCCGCGACAAACCGGGGCAGGGAACACACAGGGCCGGGGGGCGAAAGAAACGTCGATTTGATTTCAATTTCATTTGTTTCACGTGACTCGAGAGAGAAAAAATGGTTTTTAGTGAGTTTTCCGACGGTTTTTCCTCTTTTTCGGTTACGATTCCGGCTGTATAATGGGCTTGTTCGCCATGTCTGAATGGTGTTATGATTAGTTTCAAGTGTGTTTTAATTTGTTGTGTGGGTTTTATTGGCTTTATGCAACATTTTTACGTGCTTTTTGGGGTTTTGGAGGTTTAAAAAGGGGAAGAAGTAAAGAAATTCGAGAGAAATTCAAGGGGAAATTAAGTTTGCGAGCGATTTTACAGCGCTAGCTGACTTTAACTTTACATTTCTTGTACTAAATGAAAAGATATTAGTCTAGAGGACCCTATTGTATCAATTATTTGTTATAGGCTTAACATTTTTAAGGTTTAAAATTAAAAAACTTATAAAATTTTAGCAAAACTTGATGAAAATTAGTTTTTGCGAGCGATTTTTCATTATTTGTCATTGTTTTTTGATGCCATTTGTTTATAAATAGCTTTGGAATAGTCTTCTTGATCTTACATATTTAAAGCAAAGGTTTAGAGTTATTAGAAATGGCATAAAATGATTAAAAATCACTATGAATCAGCCGTTTTTAAAAAAAAATCGCTGGTTGAGCTTAAATAATGATGACTTTTAAAAATTCCCTAACGCAGTTTAACTTAAATTGGTTTTTGTTTTACTCTTAGGATATTTGGCTATACAAAATGAGCATCTTTATATTTGATTTTATTAAGAAAGCTAAGATAATATAAAAAGAATGCCTAAAACCAACTGGTTTTGAGCAAAAATCTGATAAAACATTTCATTACCCATCGAAATTTTGTTAAAAACCCACATTTTTAATGACAAAAATGTGTCAAATCATATTGATAATCAAAATCAAATTCAAAAACATGCATTCATTACCAAAAATTATGACACAACCTCGATATTGTACATGGTATGCTAATGCACTTGAACATGATCGCAATACAATTTGCATACGATTAGGCAAACTATTGCTACTTTATGAATAATGGCTGGTGTCTAGCCGAAAAAAAACTCGCATAGAGAGGGAATCGATCGACTCGAGTTGATTCAATTATATTATTCATGATCAGATGATCTATAAGCGGTTGACTCAAAGGAATTTTGTTCCACTTTCGACAAAACTTGGTGTTGCTATGTTTTAGTAACGGTTTTTTGATAGTATGAACATGATTTTTAAATGTTTTCATAGAGTAATTTTGGATAATTTTGATCATAACCTTCTGATATTGCCTATGACAAGACCATGTTTGCGCAACCGTTTATGGACATGGGAATCATAAACTATTTGTTTAATTTGCTCAGTCTGCATTTTAATTTGCCTACGCGTCTAGCTTTTTTAATTTTTTTATGAATTCGCCCGTTTTAACGAGAGGCTTACTGTTATGATCAAAATTTAACATACTTTAAATTAAATTTTTGGTAGTTGAAAGTGCAAAAAAATTTTTGATTCGTTGCTTAATTGTTACCAGGACTATATGTGAGTTTTACACCAATTAAGTCTGTCCGATCATTAAATCACTTGGCGCCAAATTCAAATGTGAATTTACAAAATTGAAAATAAAACATGAAATTTTAAATAATGGTTTGATATGATATAAATATGTTATAAACAAAGTTCGGTTTAAATCCAACTATTATAACCCCTCTAAACTTACTGTGCAGTCTGCACTTTCAAACACCTTCCATCGTATAACTTGTCGCTCTCCCTTTTTTTATTTTTCGCTATTTTATTCAAGTTTTTCGCGATTTGCTCGTGCTCAATTGATTTATCCGTTCACATTTCGCGTATTTCCTTAAACTTTTATTAAATACAATGTAAAGAAAGTGTTTTCAGGTCAATTTCACGATTTTATGCCGGATTCAAGCAGTTATGGCCACGATTTCGGGGAAGGTTTGTGGTTTTTGGGTAAAACTCGGGCTGATTTGGATGTTATTATATTGAAGAAACGATGTAAAGGGTTTTATTGGGTTTAAAAGTTTGGAAAAAGATTGGGAATGTGTTTTTGAGGGCATACGGGATGTATTTTTGGGGATTTGCTTTGGTTTTTGATCAGTTTTGATATTTTGGCATCTGGACGGCATGGTGAACATAACTTTTAATGTTTTTTGACGTAAAATGTTACAAATTAAGATTGAATGTTTCAAATAGGATATAATATGTTACTTTGAAGATTTCAAAATGATTTTTGTTTA